TTCTTTCTGCAAACTGGGGCATGCCAGAGCCAGGTCATGTGGGCAGTGGTGCAGAAACTGGGGAAAGAGAACCATCAGTGTCCCTGTGCTGAAAATCTCCGCAGAAGAAAAAGTCCGACGGCAAGACATCATCCTGAGATAAGATAGTCAAGAAAGGAGTTGAGGTATTTATTTATGCTAAAAGCTAGAAAGGTAATTTGTCTGGCAGCTCTGAACTTCATGTTTTATAATTAAAGATGCTTGAGAGTGTCCTTATTTGATAATATATTCCAGCTGTTTAGACTTTAAGGAAAAAATGCTAGAAGACTTGCAACTAAGTCATGAAAGACCAGGAGTTCAGTGGCAGTCCAGACTTCAGTTATGCAGGGTGGTGGTTTCTTTGTCAAATAAAAAAGAAAGCTTAAAAAAGATATTTCAACTATGCATTATGCTGTACTCTATTATGCACTACATAATTACACTTTATATGTTCAAGAAGAAAACAATTACTTGCAAAAACTTAATCCAGAATGAAAGTAATCCAAATATATCAAAATTAATAGTATGACTGAAATTTTGCTTTCAGTAAAAGCAAAGACTTTTGAGTCTATGAACTGTGGCATAAATGAAGAAAGTATATTTATTCCTATAAAAGATTCTAGGTTGGTTTTTTTTTCCCTCCAGGATGGATTTAATTGCTAAGAACAATAACCAAGTCTTATAACCTAATAATTCTTGTAAGAGTTATTTTTTATTAGAATTTTCATTTGGGGCACTTAAAAGAACTGTGACTTTAGATACATCTAAAAATTTTACCAATAAAACTGATTATTTTAATGGACTTTTCCAGGTCATAGCATCTTAAGTTAGCTTTTTTAGAGGAACTTATCAGGTTATTGAAAAATATTTTGTTTCCTTTTTTTTTTTTTGCAGAAAAGGTACACTAGAGTGTATTTGCTAATGTATTTGTGACAATTCATGCCAGAGAATGTTGTTCTTCACAATACAGCTGTGAGCGTTAAAGATAGACTAGACTGCTGCCTGAGAATTTAAAAAAAACCAGCAACAGTGAATTGCCATGCCTCAAATGCACAAGCAGGTCTGCTGCTAGTCAGCTTCAACAGCAGCAGCCTTTGAGAGAGATAGGTGATGGAAAAAATGAGACCAATATGTCAGAAATTGAATTAATAATTATGTGTTTTGAAGCAAAATGGATGAACTGTTACAAGCACCTGGAGAGATTTGTTGAAGAGCAAGACACAATTCATCTTTACCTGATTGTGAGAGATCGCTTGGTTAGGGGGGCTGGACAAGGTGACTTCCAAAGGTCTCTTCCAGCCTCAGTCATCCTGTGATTCTGTGATCTGTCAAAAGGACTAAATGACAGATGTTTCGTGCTCCAGGCTCCCCTGACTATGCAATAGCCTCCTCCACGATGGTAGCAGGCTGAACTTCCTGCTGAATCCCCCTGGCAGCCCTCCAGCAGGCAGGGTGGAAGAGGCCAGGCTCCAAGGTGGTTCTGGCAGGGCTTAACTGGGAGTGTTGGATGGACCAGAGGGGAGCCAAGGGGCTGTCTTGTTTATGGAGTCCTGTCTCAAACACTGGCATTTCAAGAGAAGGGAGAACAGGGCAATCACATACCATGACTTCCTCTTATTACTCCTCCAGCTTTTGACAATTTTAATCCTTGAGGTCTTCCTGGGCCTGTGGTGGTTTTCCTGTTTTATAACCTACAATGGATTTCTTTTCCGTGCTCTTTTCCAGTTTCTCTGGACCAGTGTACTATGTGCATCCACAACATTCTTGGCAAAGTGTTTTCTAATTATACTATGTGTTGTAAGAAGAGATATGAACTTGATCTGGTTTTAAGCCTAGATCTCATTAGCTTAATATATTGTTCACCAATTATTGGGCAAAGGCAGTGTAAGTCATCCAAATCAGCTTTGGCAACTCCGTTGAGGATTTTGGAGGCCTTTTTCCTACCTACCTTATATTGTCTCTTTCCTGAGATGAGCAGTCCTAAACTATTTGACTTCTAAGATTTTAAATTAATTTCTTAGAGGATACCATGTGCTCTTACCTTGGTCTTTTCTAGTCCTTGTTGATCCTCTCTGTGCCAGAGGCCAGAAGTGCAGAGAGTAAACTAGGAATGGGTGAACTGTGGATTTCTATGATGCTGAGCTGATGAACAGACTTATGGATTATGATCCATTGTAGTCACTGACAAGCAACATCATTTTATACACAAAGCTGTGACTGGGTTTCCCTGTGTGCATTACTTCACACTTACCAACACTGAATTTCACACACAAACATTTGTGCAATCCCTCCCATCTTTGGGTAAGCTCATACCCTAACCATCACCTTAGAGAAATAACACGCTGGTGGGTATCAATGTAGATAACACCTCATGGTATTATAAACTATTTGAACTGGAAAAAATGACAAAAAGTGATGAGTTGACTTCAGGATAATCTCTGGCCCTCTCATGTATCAGCATATATGTAGCCAAACAGATAATGAACTCAAAATGGAACATAGTCAGTCTAGGGAACATTCATGAAAGCACAGCATCACGACCTGGGTGAGCAAAGTAATTGTCCTGCTTTTCTCTGTGCTGCTGTGGCCTTACCTTGCATTCTGGGTGCCACAATATAAGACATGAACTTCTTAGAGAACATCCAAGGGAGCCCTACAAAGATAGTGAAGTGTGTAGAGGGGAAGCTGTATGAGGAGCAGCTGAGGCCACTTGGGCTGTTCAGCCTGGAGAAGAGGAGACTGAGGGGAGACCTCATTGCAGTTACAACTTCCTTGTGAGGGGAAGCAGAGGGGCAGGCACTGATCTCTTCTCTCTGATGACCAGGAATAGGACTGAAGGGCTTGGCCTGAAGTTGTGTCAGGTGAGGTTTAGGTTGAATATCAGGAAAATATTCTTTACCCTGAGTGTATTTGGGCACTGGAACAGGTTTCCCAGGGATATGATCACAGCACCAGACAGAGTTCAAGAAGTGTTTGGACAATACTCCTGGGCACATGGTGTGACTCTTAGGGATGGTCCTGTGCAGGGCCATGAGCTTGACTTGATGATCCTTGTGGGTCCTTTCCAACTTTATATATTTTATGGTTCCATGACTACTGACTCTGACTGTCTGTTCCCAGTTTCCTCCAATGCCCTGCTGCAGACTGGGGGTGGGACAGGCTCAGACTGCTAGGCTCCTTCAGAAATGCATAGAAATTAAAAAAAAATATATGATATATGTATCAGTGCACCTATTGCATAAGGAGAAGGATTCAAGTTAGCCAACATCTTATAAAGTATTGATACTTTTCAAATTTGTGTGAAGTGTCTATGATAATGCCAACTTCTAATATATATATTCTGTAAAGAAATATGAAAAAAAAGAAAAAATCCACAATAACAATGAGAAATAGATTAATTTTGTTTCATAACTTGGTTTCCTTGCCCTCTTCTATGCTTGGAAGTTTTTCACACATGGCAGGTAAAAACACGGGAATGAATCTTAAATCATGTACTTTTCTTTTTCTTTTTTATTATCATTATATTACAAAAAAGTCCAAACACATTCATGGATTAAATTTATATACTGTAATTAAAAAACAACATTAAACACAAACTCCCTCCCAACCTTGAAAACAAACAGAAGCCTTTACATTCTTTTCAGTAAAATTACATTAACTACATAGTAATGCTTACAAGTAAGCAAGTTGCCCAGGGCCCATATTCCCCAAATTGAACATAATATGGACATGAACTTCTCAATAACTTCACAAATTGCAATGTATAATTATATGTGTATATGTATATGGATGTCAACTTACTGATCAAGTATGGTAGAAGCCATTATTCTTATGGTGCTCCAGAAGGATATATTTCCAGGATGAAAGAACAGAATGATGGGCCTCTTTTAATAATAATTTATTCTCTTCCTCTCGAATAAGAACTCTCCAAGACTTCGCAGTATATACCATTGGACTCAAAGGATTGTTAATGGGTGCATTTTTACATTCCTTTCTCAAGGAACAATCTCACTGACCCAACAGGAGTTGGGTCAAGTTTCATTAACCAAGCTAGTTAGCGAAATGGCATGAAGTGTACTCAAATGAGGCTTCCTTCCTGTTCCTTTTTAAACATTTTCAGAAGAGAGATGAAGGGTTATGAAGAGATGCATGAGTTTGGAGAGAACATTTTCAGTCCATTGTGAGCATCTTTTTTCACTTGAAAAAGGAGCAATTCACCATTTTTCAAAATATAGCAGTTGATGTCCAAAGTGCAAGGTTTCTGCCCTTTTGGCTCTATTTTGTGTCAGTTATAGTTCAGGCACTTTGCAGCATATTTTAGGAGGGACTATGCACTTGAGGACCATTTTCAAGATAAAACAGAGTCAAAGTCTGCATTAGATGTAGGAGAAGTAAAGGTTTTCAATGTAAAAGTATTTCCATGTTAAAAAAAAAAAAAGAAAAAGGAGGGAGATTTCAGTATAAACTTTAAAAAGTTTTCTGCCACAACAAAATGCAGAAAACAATTAAACAACTGTGATAGTGAGAAAGCTGGAATCATGTGAAAGTGAATAGTGAAGGGTAGCTTCCAGGCAAAGATTTGCCTTGTACACAGAAAATGTGCAGATCAATTAAAACTAGCACTGTGAAATGCCACAAAGCATTGAATGTTCACATTGGCTTGTAAACATTAGTGCTAGGTCCACTCACATTTATTCTGCTCCAAAAACTGATAATACTTTAGCAGAAGATAGGACATTCAAATATCTCACTGTGCATGTTGTGGTTTTCCACCCTCCACTGTGAAGAAATTCATGGTAATTAGTGGTGGAAAATTGGTTTTGAACCATGAGATACCCAAAGAAAAATGGCAAATTTTAAGGCCCTTGGGCATTGCCTATTACTTAGGCACAGGAGCTCCGGAAGCAGTGCAGCATGAGATGTCTCAACCAACTATCTACAACATTGCAGACGGTTTCCTCCTCAGGGTTGGATGGAGTCAAAATGCAGCAAAAGGATATGGTGTATTTTTGTCTTGCTTGTGAGGGGGTCTTGTCTGGTCTTCTCAGGTGGTTTGCGTCTCTCCTCTGTCAGTGAGAGTCAAATGTAGGTAAAAAGCTGTAAATACTACAGGAAAACATTCTCTTTTGTCTGTCCCCAGTGCATGTTCTGTAGCAGTTGTCTTTCCAGGCATGCAGGAAGTTGTTGAGAAGTGAGAAGGATTAAACATGGCACACAATATGCAAACAAGCTGTAGAAAGATATTTCAGAGGAGGGCTCCGAACACAGGACTGCTCAACCTACCTGCCATAACTTATTTTCAGGATGTTTTGTACAACTCCCATTCTCAAGCCTTATTTTCATCTTTCTTTTCTTCTTCCTTCTTGCCTGCCTGAAAGAAGTCTGTTTCTGACATATGGCCATCAGGAAAAGTTTTCATCTGGTTTCTGCTGGCACAGAATGACTCTCCAGTCTGTGGTTGAATTTTCATTTATGCAGCTGAAAATCTGGTTTATAATCTACACCATCTCTGTAAGGAAGAAAACATCACTCCCCAGGCGCTATGTAAAGCTAAATTCTGCTGAGGGGGATGGTTCTTCTATGTGTAGCCTTTTCACATTGGTGAAAATGACTAGTTGATACTAACCCCATACAAGCAGCATTGGTACTATAATAGGTTAATGTGGGAAGGTCTGTTACTTTAAATAAAGTGCTCCCCATAGTCCTGAGAAATGAATAACTTCAAGAAGTGCAGCTGTATTTGCAAACATTGTTAGCTTTCCTTTCATTGTATGAGACGTTTTGCTGTATAAGATTGAAATAAATAAATAATGTGAGTCAACCTAACCTTTTCAAGTGTCAGTTTGGTTTGACTTTGAAAACCAGTTGGGTGAGTGTTGTGGTGATTTCACAGTGGCTCTGCATTATGCATTAATGGTAAAATACCATGCTACTTTTATTCTTTCTTTTATAAAAATACAACAACAGAGAAGCAAATATAATCAAAAAACAAAAACAAAGCTTGGCACATTCTTTAGAAAAACAACTGCGTTACTCCCAAACCAGCTTTGGTGTATGCTGTAATTCATGTACAGTAATGTTTTACATTCACTGAGAATTGCAAGTCTTTGGTTAACTATAGTACAACCTGAGAGTAACTGTTTTAAACCTGTCCCTTGGTCTTATGCAGCAAGGCTATTTCCAGGTTAACCCTGCTTCAGTGCCTTCTTGGAGAAATTCAGTTCCTTTAGCACTTCCATGACCAGAAAATCCTGAAATGCAATTTAAATACAGCTTGAGTTCTGTCACTGGAGCAAGGTATTTTGAGCATGGCCTTTCCAAAGGAAATGTTTTCTGTGTCTACTCATGAGTTTCGCAGGTGTCTTTCTTCTGGGAATATCTAAAGCTAAAAAACACTTTCCTGCCTTTCCAAATTGATCCTTACTCCCTCTAACCCATCCATAGGTCCACTTGACATCGATCTGGCTGACATGGTCCTGCCAGAGAATAAACTTTCCCTTCTGTTTTCCAAGCTGTCGCTGAGCAGTACCGTAGGGTGAAACAATTGCATGAATTTCTGGTAAAATTCTTTTGATGCAAAATAATAAATGAAGGGATCTATGCAGTTGTTGAAGCAACTGAGGCACAAGGTGAGCTTGTAGGCAGGGTACAAACTGCCGTTGTAAAATAGGCGGCTGATCATGTGTGCAAGTAGGATAAAGTTATTGGGGGCAAAGCAAGTGATGAAGGACAGAAGGACAATTATTGCCAGGTATATGGATCTAGTCTTTTGCTTATTGCCGTATCTGCTTGATGTTTGAATTAGCTTCCTAATGATACCAATGTAGCATCCAACTGTTACAACAAAAGGGATCAGGAACAGCACAACAAATAAAGTGAGGAGAAAGGCTACCCAAGCTGCAAAGTTGGGCAGCATATTCCATTTAAGGACATCAAAACAGGTTATAATCCCTAATTCTTTCACTTCATAGGTCAGGTCTGTAGTTTCTAGTGGGTAGAAGGCTAGTAGCAAGGCAATCCACATAGCTAGGCAGGCAGCCAAGGCATATCTTTTTCTTCTCCACTTGACCGACTTCAAGGGGTGTACCACACCCATGTACCGCTCCACGCTGATAAAGGTCATGGTCAGTATGGAAGAATACATGTTGGAATAGAACATCACTGTCACAAGGCTGCAAAGAGTCTTGCCAAATGTCCAGTGATTGTTTTGGAGGTGATAATAAATCTGGAAGGGGAAACATAAGGCTAGCATAAGGTCCGTGATGCTTAAGTTGATCATGAAAATAACAGAAGGTGTTTTGGGTTTGATGCGCCAACAGAGCACCCAAAGGGAGAATAAATTGCCAGGGATGCTGACCAGAGCCACTACTGTATACACAATTGGGAGGGTGATGGAGACTGTTTTATTCTGGAGCATTGCCAGTGTCAAATTGTCCAGGTGGGATTCGTTTTTAACCATTTTTCATAAGTGGGTTGTTGATCCCTGTAAGCCAGCTGGATCATATCATGAACACTTGGCTTGAAAACCTAGAGGAGAAATGTCAAGTGAGAAAAGCAATATGTCAAAGCAGAAATTTAGGACATGAATCATGTATTAATCAACTAAAAAAATTCTTTAGTTTGACAGATTTTCCTTGAATGCACTCAATCCATTAAAATTACTTTCTGAAAAGTCTTGCCTCCCTTCAAATCACCATAATGTTTTGCCAATCTAACTTCTTTGCCATTCTAACTTCTTCCTATCTTGGAGCAGCTACCTTTTCCCTGGTGAATGGTTTTCTGACACTTAGAATCACAGAATCATTAAACTTGAAAAAGACATCCAAGATCATGGCATCTTTGAGCAAACATCACCATATCAATTAGATCATAGCACTGATTATGAAGAACCCCTGGGTTCTTCTCCACTGGGCAACTTCCCAGCCACTCTGCCCCAAGCTTGTAGTGCTGTGTGGGGTTCTTGTGACCCAAGGGCAGGACTTGGCATTTTGCCTTATTGAACCTCACACCATTGACCTTGGCCCATCAATCCCTCTCACATGGATTGCTCTGTAGTCTATTCATTATCACACCTCCTATGTGACTGTAACATAAGGAAAATCACATATCACAAGTTGACATTCAATTGATGTCTGCGTGAGAACACTAGTCCATAGATTGTCCGTGAGCTAAATCCATTGCATCTACTCTAGATGTCATAACCTTGATTTCTGTAATGCACAGTAACTTCTGACATTTTTTCCCCACAACTAAACTGTGATCCATTTCAAATAAGGTGTGGATTTTAATTTCTTTTTGCTTTTTTTCAATTTAGGGAAAGGAAAACATGCATTCAATGACTCTTGCTATATTTCTAATATAAAAAGAATATAAGGAAAGAAACATGAGAACCAGGGACAGATTGCAATTGCTTGGACTGGTTTACAGGCTGGAGAAGCCCTCTTCTACCAAGAAAAAAAACCTATTGAGCTTCAGTTTCTGCAAAATGTAAGTTAGTTAAAAATATTCTGTTTGTAGCTTTTTTATTTGCATAATCTGTAATTCTGCAAGATTACTTTCAGTTTTGCAGTCTGCAAAGCACACCCATGCTTTCACTGTCTGCTTTTCATAGATCTTTCTTGGCAGATGCAATAGCTCATGGTTTAGTGTATTTATTTTAAACAGCATGGAAGCATTCAGCAGCTGCAGGACAGAACTCACACCTCAATGTGTGTGCTTGCTTTCCTTAAACTGTGAGTACAGGGAGGCAATTTCACAAAAGTACAACACTGGAAAAGTGAAGAAATGGCAACAAATACCCAGAAAGGCAGAGGATAGATTTACAGTAGTTTCTGCAAAGAGTTCCAATAAGGGCTGAAGAGGTGACAGGCCAAGTCAGCCAATAACTGTGGGCACATCTCTACTTCTTAATTACAGGCAGAGAGTGGGTTCAGACACACTCCTGCTTGTGGACTCTCATCACCTGCATGGTTTATTCCAAGCATCTTGTTGCAAGACAGCCCCGCTGTAGGAGGTTAGATTAAAAAAACATGTTGGTGTCACTTAACCTGATATCTTGTTTAAAAAGAGCTTTAGTTTGTGTGCTCATAGGCCATGAGCAGTGCAACCAGTCAGTCCTCAAAGAGCTCATCCCACAGTGCTGAGAAACTCTATAGTTTCTGGAAATAATAATTCTGACAAAAAAAAAATGTACTTTCTAAGAGAGGCTTTAACTGAAAACTTGTTTTCTGAACCATTGATGATTCCTGGGACCTGGCAAATGTGAAGTCTCTACTGGAGGCTGCAGTGCAGTAAAGAGATAATCAACTGAGAAAAACCCAAGTGCAGATCCAGAAAAAGGTACAGCTACAGCAGCAAGCAGCTCAGTGAGGGCTTATTAAAGTTCTTTCTTGATCTGATACATTTGACAATAGTGCTTTAAATGTCACCTAAAAATATTCAGAAGTGGTGAGAGTCAGTATCAAGAAAGTTATATTGATTAATGTTGCTTCCAGCTGAGTTGTTGGAATTCTAGATAAAGGAACAAGATAATAGGAATTTCAAAGAAATCAGAGATGGACATATATCATGCACATGACACAGAGCAAGCATGTTTCAGGTAGTGAAGTGATCATCATATGGGCAGAATTGCAAAAAGCCCTTTGAGCCAAATCTGTTGCAAATGAAATTCAAATCTTATCAGGGGAGAACTATCAAGATTGAAACTAATTCTTCATTTTTCAGGCTAACTTGAAAAAGCACTCACTGTCACATAACTCTGGGAAGAAAGCCTTAATGCTCTCTATTTCAACTCATCTGTCTGTGACTTAGCATAGCAAATGTTTATTAAGTCTATTACCTCAAAAATCCTGCTCAAGTAGCATCCCTTTGTGCCTAACAACTCTATACTTCTCAAAACAAACAGAAGATTGTTGTCTGTATCAGAGTTACCACAAAGCTCTAATAATATAGAGCAAATGAAAGATATTTGCTATCACTGGCCCCTAGATGCTATTCCTATAGAAATTACAGGTACTTGGGAAGGTAGGAATATAGGTAAAAATTTCCATTAAATCTATCACACTGGTCATAAAGCTATCTGTCTCACATTTTGGTTTGTGTTAATCTCAAATGTATTTTCTTCTGTACTTGCTTTTTTTTCTGAGAGAACATCTTGATAAGAAGGAGATAAAAAATGCATGCCTAGATGCTGCCAAATGCAAAACAGTGTCAGCATTCAGAGCCTGACTAAAGGTGAATTTTATGCACTCATGGAATGCTACTGTCAGTAAAACAGAAGTGCCTCCAAATGCAGCACCTCTTGAATTGGAGTTGAAAGACACCAGACTTACTGATTATGTGCCTACAAGAGCTTTCCAAAAAGGGTAGATCTCCTTGACCTCGTTTTTAGTAATGAAGATGTCCATCACAATGAGCAGAAGAATGACGGGTGGTTCCTTTAGAGTCTTCTGCAGGGGAGAGGGGGCATGCAAAGCACACAGGACTGATGTTGCATGTCATTGGTGAGGGCAGATAGCCTCTTCAGGAAATGTGGAGTACAGAAAATCCTCCCCCTAATGTCATCTTTCCTTTTGCCAGATTCTCTGACACTAATCCTGAATTCCTTGTCAGGAAAGCCTGGACTAGAAGAAATTCCTGCTCTAATTCACCCTGACTTGTAATGATTTGCTTTTTAAATGCCCAGGTGTGTGGGGTTTGGCTGGAATAGAGCCAATTTTCTTCACAGTGGCTAGTATGAGACTATTTTTTTGGATTTGTGCTAAACACAGAGTTGACAATAGGGAGATATTTTTGTTATTGCTGTGCAGTGCTTACACAGAGCCACCACACTGCTTTTTGTAGTGCCATGCTGGCAAGGAGGTTGGGGGTACACGAGAGGCTGGGAGGAGACACAGACAGGGGCCCAAACTGACCAAAGGGATATTCCATTACCTGCATATAAAGTAGAGGGAAGGAGGAGGAAGAAGCAGTGATGGTGATTGTCTTCCCAAGTAAACCTTTCATGTGATGGGGCCCTGCTTTTCTGGAGATGGCTGAACACCTGTCAGCCCATGGGAAACAGCAAATTAATTCCTTGTTTTACTTTGTTTGTGTGCATGGCTTTTGTTTTTCTTATTAAATTGTCTTTTTCTCAACCCACAATTTTTCTTCCTTTTACCCTTTCAAATCTCTCCCCAATCCTGCCTAGTGGGGGAGGTGAACAAGTGACTGTGTGGTGTTTGGCTGCTGGCTAGACTGAAACTACCACAGCAGGTTAAGTTGCTGGAACCACAATGTACCACTCCCATTCCTGCGTCTGTTGGGGCTTAGTTAATGCTGTGTTTACATCATTTTCATCTGGTTCAGGGTAACTGTGTCCTTCCCCCACTGCACCCGCAGTCTCTGTCTGTCTCTTGTGGCTTAATTTGTAAATATAACACATCAAGAGAGAAAAGAATCCCTCTTTAGAGGTTTAAAATTAGACTCTTCTTACATTTTATGAGCTTTTTCCATCGAACTTCAGCTTTACAACAGAATTCAAATCAGTTAAGCTTGCACGGATTTTAAAACATCCACCCTAAGCTATGGTTTCATATGCATAATTTTTCAAAATATAGTTCTGTTACATAAATTTCCCTGTTAGAAATACATGCTTTTTCTTTAATTTTGGGAGACCTATATTTAAAATACGACAGACCAATGGACATACTGAGACAAAAACTAAATAAGGATTCTTCAAGTGACATGATCCAGTCTTAGAGACATTTACAGTAGTCCTCAAGCTTGTGACATAGAAGGAGAAATGTTAAGCTTTTCTGCTTGCCTGATTTCTGAAACATTTAGTTGATGGATGAATATTAGTCTCATATTAAGTACTAAGCCTCTGGAGTAATGCTCACTAAATCCATGTAGGATTTTTTTTGCTACTCTTTGTACTCACTGGCTCGTGGCACTCTGCACAGAAAACTCACTTGGAAATTCAGTGGCATCATATTTTCATCCAAGCTGCAACCATAAGCTAAGGTGACAGCTGCTAAATGCTTTTCTGATAGGTATAGGGATTTCATTCCCTTCAATTGACAAAAGTTGATAAATAAAACATTTAAGGGTGTACTGAAAACCAAACAGTAAAAAATCACAAGATATGTGTTGCTTCTTTGCTGTGGAAGAGGAACAGTAGAGATGTCTCTATTTTTAGAGAACTGCTAAATTAAGCTGATGTGATTTCTCTCTTACATCTATTATCTTCCTGTTCTCAGTGTCAAGCACACCTGTGAAAAAGACTGAAAAGCCCTTGAGTGAAGTCAAAATGAAAATTGCTGATTTATAAAAAAAATGAGATTTGCTTTGTGATTTGAGCTGGAAAAATACCGCTTAAAATATATCCCGCAGCAGAAAGCCTTTCAAAATGTATTGTGTTTCATAATTTTTGGTTCACTACTTGTCAAAGCACTATTGCATAGGGGAAAAAAGTTCTGATTTTATAAATTCTTTGATATTGTTACTCTTTTAGAAAGACACCCTTCTAGCTGAAGAATGCAGGATGGCATGTTTACTGGAAAAACAAGCCGAAATGCAATTTCAACTCAATTGCAAATAGGTTTAGAATGAAGCAAAGTGAAAGCACAGATTTTATTGCAAGTACATAGAAAACCCCTATTAATAGTTTTTCATCAATGCAAGTGTAGCTGAAGAATGTTTTTTTTTTTTTTCTTAAAAGACTGCTTTTTAGTATATTTTAATTTTACATTATTTTTTGCTTACTTGGTTTGATTAAAAAGCAGTAACAAGAGCTAAAGGGCTAGGATAGTTTATATCTACCTAATGGTAGATAAAACTAGAGACAACTTGGGGGTTCTCAGTATGGAGTGTTTCTGCTGGGTTTTCAACCCCTCCTGGACTGTGTGAATTACTACTGAGATGAGTAAAAGCCCGTAAAACAAATGCTTAATTTCTATTGTAGACTGAGTATGAGGAGAAGAAGGAATCAGGAAAGTAAAGAGCCAAGATTCAGTAATCTTGAGCTGTGGGAAAAGTGACAAACACTTTGATATTTAAATAAAGTAAGGGGTTTTAATATGAAAAACAAGAAGAAAAAGTGCCCTTTTGTAACACCTCTCAAGTACAGTTCCTAAAGCACCATTCATGTGATTCAGAGAAACACTTCTGCAAATGTTCAAGGTCACCAAACTGAGCAATGTAAATGAGTCCATTGCTGTCTGAATGTTTCCTAAACAGAACATGGGCCTTACCGAAAGGGGCTGCAGGTTTTGTAATGATGGTTCTTTCTCACCCTTGCAAAAAACTTTCATGCAAATTTTAGCTGGCAGTGTTACATCTCTACATCTCTAAAAGCCAAGAGTTTGGTTCACTCAGTGAAGATGTGAACCTAAATCTTCTAAGAAATTTCTTTGTATTTGGGCTTCTTTGTTCTTTTAGCTGATTTGTTTTCCTATTGTTCTGTTCTGAGTATCATTATCACAAAGGTCAGAAACTGTTGTCAAGCCTTAGTTATGTTATCACAAAGGGAGTATTTGATGTTTTAGCTTACCTTCAGTCAGTCTTTATCTTAGTACACACAGTCAAAGTAAACCCTATGGTGGTTATAGCTCTGACCTCAAACCATCAGGGCAAGGTAAAACAAGAGTGTCTTCTCTCCACAAGGATTTCACATTGAGAGGTAAAAACCCCTCTCTTTTTTCAGCAAGAAAATATAGAAACATTACCAGCTTTCATGTAGTAGAGGGGTGCATACATGTTAGAGCTTGTTAGCTGTATCATTCTAGAGAAAAACTGCTTTATTCAAAAGTGAATAAAAATAATGCTGTCATTTCTGCCTACTAGGGAGTGCTTCTGTTCTCCAGCCTGACAGAGTAAAAGCAGGCACTTTCCAAGATTGAACCAAAAATTTGTTTCCGTGAAATTTAAAAAATACAGATGAGAGGCAAAGAAACTCCACAAGCAAATACTGCACCGAATCTTCAGAACTAGCTAAGTAGTAAAATTAAATGTACTTATCTACTTTCAAATTTCCTGTGTCTTTCCTGGACTATGCAGTTGTGCTGATTTTAGTTCACTTGAACCTTCACCTTTTCGAAATATAAATCAGCAAGGTCAGGATTCTCTGCTGGTGTTAGCAACATTCACCCTAATTTAGGTAAGATTTGCATAAACACAGCCACTGTCATCTGTGTCTATGAGCTGGCTCAGAGCAAAACTCATCAATGTGGTCTTGAAAAAACTTTATTTCTGTAGCAGTCAGGTTCTTGGAAATAGTAAGTCTGTGGGCCAGTATTGACAAAAACCTCTCAGCATCTGAAGTATGATTTTACAGTTCAAGTGCTACTTAGATTACAAAATAAATCAGTTTGCAGTTTTCTTTACCAGTGCACAAGTCAGCCTATAAAAATGTTGTGCACAAAACCTTAGATCAGTTGAAACCCAAGTTGTGTAACTACTGATAAATTTTGTATGCTGGTTTAAATTTCAGTAAGAATAAGTATCCTAAACTGGATTTGAAGAGGTTCCAATTTAGGGGCTAATAGCTAGAATATTATATGTATGTTGATCTTTCCTACATAAGCAGACTTTTTAAGCTTAATTTTTTTGAAGACTGATATTTTAAAAAATATTAGCAAAGCTAAGGCAACAGAAGAGTTCAACATATCAACTCAAGAATTCATTCTGTATAGGATACAGAGGTCTCTGTGATCACTGCCCATACGCACACTTGTATTTCCCAACAGCACAAGGTAACTTTCCTCTGAGTGAAACCATGCTATCTTGCACAGGGAGGAAGAGCCATGCAAGCAGTTCCTGAAACTGCTGATTCCTGGCAAGGAACCTTCACTTAAACGCACCACAGAGTTTGTCAGATGGTGCAGGGCCATGAACAATCAGCTTGTAAACCTCCTTTAACTCCTCTGGCAGACATCCTGCACAGTGTGGAGTTATCCTGTGCCAGAGGGCATGCCTGAAGGTACCTTGGCCTTGACTTATGGCAAGATGAAGACACATGTTTTTATAAAACTTTGATGAAATTGCCTCATCTAGTTGAACTTTAAATAACACATGAACTGGTTTCCTTTATAACTTTAAGTTTTAAATATTGTCTGTATCCGGGATTGACAGACAATGGCTTCTGGTCATCAACTACTTCCCTCTACAAGTAATTGCCTCACATAGCTGTTGTGAGAGTCAGAGGAAAAAGTGTAATCAATCATTTCCCTTCCAACCTCAAATTCCAGGAAAAGAATTTAACAGTTTATCAGCACAAGGCAGTTGTGGTAGACAATATGACAGATTCCTAACAGAGAATCCCTCAATCTTCAGTAACTTGGTGGTCTTAAACTGAATCTGTGTGCTCAAACTGGCATTTTGCAGCAAACAAATATATATAAGTATACACACATAAAAGCACATAGGTTTTTACGCTATACACATATATATGTGTATATATTCTGTTTGAAATCTCTACTTTCTATCTTTTCACCTCTCTTTTCTGCGAAGTTCTCTTCAAGTGTTTCCTCTCCTGATCAGTCCACAAAGGAATTGAGGTGAGTTGCTGTGTGCTCTTGAAGATTATCTTTAGAGATAAAAATTAAAAAAAAAAAAAAAAAAAGAACCTCAGATTATGGGTTTTTTTTCATATTTGCAGTAAGGATATGACAGTCTGTAGCTGTTAAATGATTTAGCTTGTGATTGAGCCCATAAACAGGACAGGTCATGAATTTTTGCAGGAGTACCTGAAAGGATAATTTGGTGTGGTATTTGGGAAATGTTTTGAGCAAACAATGTAGAGTAATTCAAACAGCCATATAAATACTGGGGCCAGAAATTGTAAGTAATATTTGTAGGGGTGTATCAAATAACTTGTTTGACAGTGTAAGCTGCCTTCAGATGTGTCTTTTTCCACTGCTTCCACTACCTGGTCTCAGTAGATTCATCTTTCTACCCCCTGAATAAATAGATGTCTTCAATAAGCCTGTACTGGATCCATTCATTACAACAGATGACTGGTAAAAACACAGGATGAATTGTTGTTCCTCCTGTTAACTAAGATCTATATGAATAGGCAAAACTCTTTCCACATCAGTACTAAGTGGCAGAATTTGGGTATAGGTGGCCATTCCTGCCTGGTCTTTGCTAGAGCTATGGATTTATCATCCATAGAAATCTAAGTATCTATTTTAGGGTGAGTTGGAAAGTGTTTACTGTACTGGGCAGATCTCCAGTGACTGCAGTATTTGCATACATAGCCACTTCCACAGTAAATGCAGGTGTTTGAAGCTGATTCCAGCCTGTTTTAAACATCCTGTTGATTCAGATCCTGATTTCCTGGACGCCCACAGTTGCCTGGAATCTGTCAGAATCTGAGCTAGTTCACTAAAACATAATTGACCCCTTTCACACTTGGATCACCCAGCTGCTACTTTTAAATGACCAGGTCAGCTTTTGTGTAAAAATCAATTGGCACAGAATAGGATCAAATGCATTGTTTTACCTGTATCCATCTTCTTCCACCTGTGTGTTGAAGCCTACAAGTCAGTTTTACATGATCATAAGGACTCAGAATAAAAATTATTTTGTCTTCTTCTGCTCCTGCTGCAGTATTTGCTCAGCACATAACATTTAGCCCTTACTGGCAGACCATGGCTGACCACTGCTCTCCCCCCAGGTGCCTTCTGCAATGTTCTGGCAGTGAACTCCTGCAGACTCTGTGTTCTCCTGATTTTCATGTCAGTTTGGAGTAGCTCCCCCATCAGTGCTAGTGAAAACAGTCTTGGCTGAAAAATACGAGACCAGGGGCTCTGTAGGAGCTAAACTGATGTGCACTGTGCAGCTTCTTGCATATCTTATTCTCTGCTCCCGAAAGGGTAAGAGGAGCCAGATATACAGAAAGAGTGAGCCTTGCTTCCTGTCAAACTGCACATCTTACTGGAAGGCTTTGATACAAAACCAGGCTGCTGGAGGCACTTTGGTATGACTGGAACTGATATTGCATTCAGCCATTCTCCTGTGCCTCTTGTTCTACCCACTGAAAATAGGTGACTGCATGTATTTCAGGAGGAGAGGTGTGCCTGGGCTGACAAATGTCTAGGAGGCAGAAATGCAGGCAATCCAAGGCAGTGGGAAATGTGAGCTCATTCCCTAGGACTTTGGGCAATGCTTCCTTTCCAGCTTGGCCTGAAGGGACTGGTGGTTGGGGCGCACCTCAGGTCATCTCCATGAGGAACCTTGCACAGTCACTCTTTCCTTTGCCCAGTTTCTTTTACTGCTTATCGTCACAGATCAAAATGTGAACCCTGAATTGTGCTACTGAGCTATAGATGAGCTGTATTTTTCCAGAGTGATGTTCAGTTGCTCGTGTATATGGTCACATATAAGTGGTTGAGGTTCTCTGCTAGAGAAAATTTCTGCATTTTTTAAACAAAATATCATCACCATTCAATAGTATTCAAGCTACAGTCATGGCTTGTTGGGGAAGATGAAACAGGAAAGCCTTATAAATATGATTGCCTGGCAAAAGATTTTGAGAATATAGAAACTATAAGCAAGATTGAAATGAAAGCAAGCTTTGAGATACCTTAGTTACTGAACAACTGGAAAACAATGGTGTGGCCTGACTGAAGGTAATCCCCTTTTGATGAAACAAGACCCTCTGCTTGCAGGCAAGTCTAAGAGTCCGAGCATACCCTGCCAGCTTGGCAGAAGGGGTCCAAAGAATAGTTTTTAGAGTTTAGAATGTAGCACAGTATAGTAATGTAGTGATTCTTATAGGCTGTATGGAAATGCTATAAGATTTGTATATTGTACTAGATTGGTTAGTGAGAATCAGAATATTCAACACAGAAGATGATTTATTGTATTGTAACAAGAATTTGCTCGCTTAGCTCTTGTCTCTTAGCTCTTACTTTTCTATGCTCTTACTCTTACCTCTTGTCTCTTAGCTCTTGCCTTTTATGCTCCTACCCCTTTTACTCTCTTATGCTTTTACTCTCTTACCCTCTCATCCTCTCTCTATCCCTCTCTTCTCTCGGGGCTGCTCCGAGCTGTGGCTGGCAGCTCCCAGCAGGGCCCCTGCATCCAGGCCCTTTGCAATAAACCCCAAGTTCCACGACCTGGCTTCAGAGATCTCTCATTTCCGTTCGTCCCGACCGTGCTACCCCCGTCAATCCTACAATGGCTGATCCTGCCTTTAATTGTGATTATATAATCTCTGGAGGCCCAATGGCATGACCAGGGAGCATTTCTCTCAGAGCAGTCCTGTAGGTCTGGTATTCATGCAGCTCACAGAGAAGTCTGAGGTAGCTCTGTGTGTTGTATGCACAGCACCTCAGAGCTCTTTGCTTCGTAGGTAGAAGCAAGATCATTGTTTTTCAGCTTGTGCAAAATCACTTTGTTCACATGTGGAAAGACCTGAAATTTGTCTTCTCTGCAAAAGCTCACAGCTTATGTTGAGTATCAATTACTGCAGCTGTGCTGCTTGTGGCTGGCACAGGGCACAAAATGGACTCACAAGTGCCTGAACAGTGCAGAGCTCAGCTGCCCAGAGGCAAAGTGCACAGGTAACAGGAACCTCAGAAACAACAGACTACAGGAGCAGATATGACCTAGTTTTAAAAGCAGCATCATAAATGCACAAAAGGAGGAGCAAAGAGTCAACACAATTATTACTTTCTTTGTGACTTAACACTTTTTTTCTTGACTTCTCCTCAGCTTGGCAATCTGATACCAGTTAGAGGTATGACTGGTAACTTGCAAGAAGCAGAGATTATAAAATGGGGAAAAAAAAGGAAAATGATTTCTGAGAAAAGCTTCACCTTTAGTTCAGTATCTTTGTGACCACACTAATACAAATAGCTACAACAGGAATAGCACCCTGAAACTACATCTGCTTCACTCCTCTTGATATCCTCAAGTACAGGCGAGACAGGAAGTCAAAAGTTCAGTTTTTCAGCTGAACCTGACTGCAAGTGCCATGGTATTCAGGGTTCGGTCTTCTCTCCCATCCTCTCTGCACTTAATTAACTCAAACACATAAATAAGAGAGAAATTGGATTCTATCCTTGTCTAACATACTCTTTTTGCTTGGAGAAGCATGCAAGTGCCCTAACTATAGCCAGATGTATGCTGATACATTATTATAATGAATGCTACCTATGAAATAATCACAGGCAGAAGTCAAGTGTTCTGAACCTGGTTTGTGTGGGGAGCCAGTCCAGGTCTTGCAGGCTGACAGCTCAGCACCCTGGTGTTATCAGCCACTCCTCCCCCTTCTGTATCACTATCAAACTCCTCACAGTTCTGTACCACCATCAGGCACCCCAGCTAGACTCTGCTCTAAGGCAATTTTGATGACTGGTACCGTTATGCTTCAATAAGATACATATAACACTAGAGCACTAGGAGAGAGTTCTTTGGAGACAAAATTTGGGCTGTTAAGAGACCTAGAGATCTCTAAGTGATGTGCTCTGAAATATTACCACATTCCTGAACTTTCAGTGTGTAACTTGACAGCAGATGCATAGAAAAATGATATAGATGCACTTAAGAATAAAGGAAATGTTTGGTGCAGATGGTGCCATCAAGAAAATATGGTTTGACCTAAACTAAAATAGGGCAATTTTCTGTTACTGAAAATGAATGTTATAGCTTTTAAACTAAAAATTAGAGAGAGCCAAGTGGCACAGAAAAGTGTACAGTTCAGGATGGCACATATTTAGTGGTGGGAATGTTATTAAATCCCCTGCAATCTTAGTAAAAAGGACAGGAAAAGGTGTCAATAAAGTCCAGGAAGGAACCAGACAAAGAGCTGCTACGTGTCAAGTGTGTGAAGCACATCACATAAGACAGTGAGCCACAAAAAACCCCAGATACATAAAAAAACAGTTAAATGAGAGGTGTAAAAATGCTGAGGCAGATTGCCCTGGTTTTCAGCTGGGAATCTGACCTAATTTAGGCATCTGAGAAGTTTGATGACAGAAAGTGATTGTTAGGAATGGTATGGGTAAGGCACACACTGATACAGCGCTGCCAAAATGGGCCATGTTGCTTCAGGATTGTTACACAAGACAGAATTTCCATGGGCTGAAGGCTGTGACTGGAGGACTGCATCATTAATCACATAACGAGGATGGTAAATGTGGTAGCAATGTGCTTGGGATAGAAAAATCAGCTGTGAGAGCAAACAATATGGAAATAACAAAACCTTTCAAGTACCCCTAACCAAACTAGGAAAATGCACTCTGGCAATGTGTGTCTTCAGGCACATCAAATATGATTTCTTGTGGAAATCATCTGTTCAAGACCTAGTGAGGAGGCCCTCAGAAGATGAGGATTAGCAGCTTTTGGCTCAGGCCTTGGCTATCCTGAGTGTCCACAGCAGCAGGAGCACTCACCTGGGGTCTCCCCTTCCCAATCGAGGCACCAAAGAGCTTTGGCCTATAGACTATTGCAGATAAATTTCTACAACTTGAACTCTTTAACTGAGAATTTTTAGCAAATGGCAATCTTGAAACCTGTATTCTCATGAGGGCTTCCCTATCAAAAGGTTTTGGTTCTCTTTTTCACTCTGTTGTGGTG